TATGATGTACTGTAGGTTTGTGTACATACTTTTATGATGTACGTGTAGGTTTGTGCGTCTGTGCATGTACGCTTATCTTCATGGATAGGCTTAGCCAAGTTGGTCGAGGTGTCTTCTCAAGTTGACATTTTGTCAGACTTCTGCAGCTGTTGCACGACACTGCCTTTGACCCGAGAGAGACTGAAACAACCTCACACGAAGCGTTCCTTTGCCGGTGCCCCAGGCCTGTTTTGCAGCTTCTTTAGCTTTCGGCGAACACCAGATGCAAAAATTGCTTTGGTTGCTGAGGGCTTCGATGGGCCTACCGTAAGTTGCCGTAAGTGGAGGTTCGGTTCATGGGTAGCAGTTCCATAATGAAGATGACCTTCATCGGAGTTCTTGATTGCACGACTCAGAACTTAGAACTACCCTTGAACCTCCAAGTAGCTTCAAATGGCAACACCTCCCAGGCTACAACGGGGCCATCAATGCTGTGGACAAGAGCACATTTTGCGCATGCGTGGGCCAGCCTGGTCGCGTCCATGAGGCCCGCATGTTAACGTGAAGATTTGGCTCGCTGGCTGCCAAGAGCTGTTACAGGGAGCTTGCACATTGAACTGAGGTGCGTATCCGGCGTATCCTCCATCAAGAGAGCGGCAAACTGCTGTATTCAGTACTGCAGTCATCGTAGACTCTTCGGTCAGAGGTCCTGGCTGTACAGGCACGATATCTTCGCCGCCAAACCGATATCTTAGTCGGGGCGTTCTGTCCAATAGTTGTTCCCATGTGAACCAAATGCTGCAGTTCCTGTTCGAGAGTGGCTGCTCAGCCCCGAGCTTCTTGTGGGAAGAGCTACATGTTACACCCGAAGCGCCACCAAGGAACAGAGCGCTGGACGACGCGGCCGTGGCAGAGCTTCCATAGGCGGGATGTCTGAGTCTGAGTAGTTCATTCCCGTCATGCGTGCACAGCCCCCAAAATCCCGTGTGGGACGGACCACGCCGAAGCCAATGCTCCGAAAATGCAGACGACCCTGCCAGGACTTACAAACCCCAACCTCGGCACAAACTGACTGGTTTGGTGTTCCACGTGTCGGATGTATCGGATTCATCTACCGATATCGCTCCGGTCCAGGAACTGTCTGCCTCGAAAAACAGCGATTGATCGTTCCGCACAGGATTTCCGGAAAGATCGTCGTAGTCCATTTCGGGCTGATCCGATAGACCCAACAAGAAGGGCCCAGGTGGCGGAGTTGTTGATCGAGCGTCGGGCCGGCAAAAGGCGACTTTCGGTCGGAACTTCCGGCCACAAACACAAACACACACACACACAGACATTCAAAAAGATACGTATACATAAATACATATATATATATATATATATATAGAGAGAGAGAGAGAGAGAAAAAAATCTACACACACCTACATGCATGCATACACACATACATACATATGCATATACATATAGATATACATATTATGTGTGTGTTTGTACATAGAGAAGTACATGTTTATACATATGCATGTACAAAGCACGCACACACACACACACACACGCGTATGTATATATATATATATACACATATATATATATATATATATATCTATATACATGTATCTGCGTGTGTCTGTGTGTGCATGTACATATGTAGACGAAAAGCTTGCATGCAAACACACCAACAAGTATGCACATCTCTACGTTTCAAACAGATGCTTGGCAGGGTCATCACGACGTCTATGTTGAAGAGGGCTGCCGACAAGGTCCAGCCAGAACCGAAGCTTTAAAGGAGAAGGCCTTAGCCAGCGCTGCGACGTTACATTCCAAACCCCATGCCCCAAGAGCCTTCCAGCACGCACGAGCTACAGGCTGGGCAAAGCATGGCTGTAGCCACGAACAGGACGTCGCTGTGGAGTGCCAGGCCGAACCCTAGAGAGGACCTTCATGCCGAAGTTATTGTGAGCGGGGGATGGGGAGTATATGTGTCAGAAACCTCCAGAAGCTTCAAGAAGCAGTGTTGAGTGGAAAACATTAAGCTTGGCAACGTTTTTGGCATGCGGTGAAACGTTCTGCAAACGAGGAGTGAACAAAAGCAGTCCGCTTTATCAAATTATGCAGACTGCAGCACACGGGCAGAATACAGCTTGTCCGTATTTGTCGGATTGTTTTGATGTCGTTCATCCCGACCGCACTCCTCTATGTTCTAGAAAGAGTGTTTGCACGCGAACCCGTCCGTGAACCCGCCATCAGGCAAATCTCTGTGAACCTGCGAACCCACGACGTTGCAAACTCGTGAAGCAAGCAGCATAACAAGAAAGCTGAGCATTCAGCACCCTAGCAGAATCCGTGTTTCGGGGAAACTGCGGCACAAGCGCTGCTGGACCACTCGGTAGGCGAAGGCTCCCACACCGCATAGGGTTGCAGAGGGCTGTTCTGCAAAGCAGCTTAGACTCCTTAGACCATTAGCCTTGTGCCTTGATCTGCCGCTGATTGTCAAGGTGCCTCTGCGCCTGGCCGGCGGAAAAAATGCAACACGCGGCCGTGTGGAGGTGTACCATGATCGCAAATGGGGCACTGTTTGTGACAATGCTCCTTTGAATGCACCATCCACAACTTAGGTTGGACCAAGGTATAGGTACCGAGTTCCTCCGTAGTTTATCAACTCAGGCTTTCAGTGAGCTTGATGCACAAGTTGTTTGCCGTGAGCTTGGTCTCCATGGCGGCACAGCGGTCTTGGGCTTCGGCCGCGGACACCTCTTCCCAATTTATTCTTATGCTGATAGCTGTGAAAAGCTTCCAGGACGTATGGCTGAGTAAGGTGGTAAGGTGCGATATTTGACTCGCTCTGCAAAGCTACGAAGACAGGTTCATGAAGCCTCCAACTCTTGAAGCCTGTATGGGTGACAAAAGGCAAGCCCTCTCTCCCGCCGAAAACCTCGACACCTAAATTAAGTCCGAAACCCTCCAGATTCCAGATGAAGGAACGGGGCCCATTTGGATGGATGGCCTCTCGTGCTACGGCCAAGAGGATCTGCTGGACGCGTGCCAGTTTGCAGGCAGCAAATTCCCCCCGCTCGCCAAACAATGCCAACCAACGCTAAAGAAAGATCCCCCGTTTCAATCCGAACAGCGGCAGAAATTCGAGGTCACCGGGGGTCCACCTCAACAGAGGACCCACCAGCACTGCAACCGGTATCCTTTGCGGAAGTAGGTTGGTCCGCGAGCTGCGTAAGTAATTGTTCATCTCTGCTGCGGACGGAATTGAGCCAGGCACGTGTGGCGATAAACAGCGACCCTCGTTGTCACACCACCAGTGCCACCGCCATTCAGATCCCGACGGGGGTCGTGAGCGTTGTGTCCTGGGCATGTTGCGTGCAAAGAGAGCAGAAAATGGCTGCGGCAGACGGACAATGTGCTTGGAAGGCAGCAACCGCAAGCAAAGAGAACCGAAACCGACGGCACAATGCTGTGATACAAATGCACACAATTGCAAAAGGTGCGCCGGCAATGCAACCAAGGAGTGCAGCTGCAATCTTTCAGGCAGGCGCGGATCCATTGTGGCGTGTAATCGACGTGTAACCTGCTTTTCTGTACATCATCGCTGCGCCAGTAGGGCATGCTAAAGTGGCCGGGTGAAACTGCATCATGAGCACTAGACTCACAGCTGTCGTGGTGCTTGCGCGTTACAGCTAGCGTCCGGTCAACATGCGAACACGGTTTGGACCATTGGCCCCCCTTGCAGACACTTTACCTTAATGCAATTAGACCTCATGTCAGTGCACATGCGAACCTGCACAAAGGCGGAATAGGGAAGAGTAAAAGTCAGGAAATAGCCAGCGGAGCAAACCTAACAGATGCACATGCCGTCCTGTGCGCACTCAGACACTCATGTCTCGTCCGGACCTGGTCAAGAGGGCCTTGAACCGAACTGAACGGCGCCTCAGGCCTCATCGGGTCCTCATGAATACATGTTGAAAGAGAGTCGTCGAGAGAGAAAAGTCGGCATCTCCACTGAAGGAGAAAGAACGCATCCCCATGCACGAGGACTGCCTCAAAATGAGACCACCACTGACGGAAAGCCGTTGTATCACACTTGGAAAGCGTTTTCTGCACTCGCGGACAGATGCACTTAAAGTACATACTCTAGCTACACTTTCACAAGCCAGCCCACTACAACGTGTGATGAGTCATGGGGGGTCGAGCCATCATGCAAATTGTGGCGTGCAAGATGCAGTGATTGCAGCATGTTCTGCGGCAACTGCGAAACTAATCTTGGCACAGGGGCCCTCTAATCTTGCTGGCACAGGGGCCCCAACTTTGGCAGGTACGCAAGTGTCCTTGAGTGCTTCCACCACAGTTCTTAGCTTCGTTGGCACGGCTCGAACTGTGGCGCCGTGCCCCCTGCAAACGAACTCGTCCACGCACTGCTATATGTACGGCTTCTCCCACTCCATCATGCAGTGTTGCAAAACGTTGTTGGGTTGTGAGCCCCTTACCTCATGTACGAGAGGAGTTCACACACACATGCACATACACATAATGTACACATACTCTGCCTAGTACCATACTTTTTTTCCATAAGCATGCGTGTTTATATATATATATACACATGCATACATATATGTATAGATAGATAGATTTAGATATGCATACATGTCTACAGACATACATATATATACATATGTACATAAATATAAGATCTTTATGCATATGCAAAAGAAACCGACCGATAGATATGTAGCTAGGTATATAGACAGATAGATAGATAGAACGATCGATGGATTTACCGTTCCCGGCGGTACACGCAAGAACCCCCAAAAAGCAATGCTGTCGCAAGAAAATAAGCCACACCACCTTGTGGACGATTTACTGCAATTCGAATCCTAGATCGAAATGGCAGACTAGCAGTCCCCATAGTGGGCAAATTTAGTTTGCTCGACACTCCGTTATTGCGTCGAGCTCAGAAAGCACCCTTTTTCCTGCCTCTCCCGTTCAAACAGCCTACCGAAACCCTGCTGCCTCGCCTGCAAACGAGCACGCATCCAAGAGCTCCTCCGTGCCAAAGCAGTCAAGCCCATCCATCCAGACAGGGCCGGTTCCTCCAGAAGCCAGCCAAGCGATTGGGTTTGGAGTTGAGGGGTTGGCGAGCCCTGCACCCGGCAGGTCCTTTGCCGAATCCTAAGATTGCGTGGCCACCGTAGAGTCCAAGCTCACGGCAAACAACTTGCGCATCGAGCTCGCTGAATGCCTGAGTCCAAAAGCCAGAGTATGGGCGCAAATTAGACTTCACATGCACAGCACTTCGAAGATCTTGGATCACAGGCTGGGGCGTCCACAGTCCAGAAGCTGCAGGCAAAGTGCTGTGGCAAATGTCTGAATTCTGGCAGTTGCTAGTGCATGTATGCAAGTCAAGTCCTGATTGGCACATACAGAAATAATTTGATCGTACCCATCCTGGCACCCTCATGATTACAGAAGCATGGTGACCCATGAAACGGATATACATATGCATCGCAGTCGCATTGTCACAGACCGTGCCCCACTTATGCTCGTGATACACCTCCACTCGTCCGCGGGTTTCATTGCCACCTGCCAGTCGAACTGGCACCTCCGGAGGGTTTAGACTTGCGGTGGAAAGGGCGGTGAGAAGCCATCAACCAGCTCCAAACAAATTGCTAGGCCCCTCTGCTGTTTCCATGACGGACCTGGCACTCCACGCCGACGTCTTGGTCATGCTGGCAACTGTGCTTGCCCCAGCCTGCATCCCGGCTTGCTCACCGACTCAGAGAGTCTTGCAGCTGCTACTCGAACTCGCATTTGGATGAGGTCTCTGGATAATTTTGGACGCAACCGAACGGCTCATGCTTGAAACTTTCGCATCATAAAGGAGCCTTGGACGAGCCCCTGCTATGAGTTGAGGCTCCATCATGATGCATAGCTGGCGGCTTTCTTGCCCGCGCCCTCACAAGTTGTCTTCCCAGGAATGAACCTAATAACCCTGACGTCAGACGACCACCACCTGAACTGCGGATTGGAGCCATGCAAGACCATCAACTGAACCGTAGCAGGGTCCCTAACGAGAGGATCGGCAAATCACGGCTATCATCAGGAAGCCCAGCGAGTGCAAGATCGTGCTGGCCTTCAAACTTGCATGCCTCGAGAGAATCTTCTTTACCAGTGCATGCCGTGCCAGCCATCCAGATGGTGCCACTTCCTTTGGATACAGGTTGCGGTTGGGGGCCGCAGGGCTCTTGATGCTAGGGTCCTGCGGCTTGCGTGATCCTGTTTCGGAGGTGAATATCTCCAGCTTTGCCCGAGATTTTGTTGCATATGGCTGTGGCATGGGCGCTACAGCCCTCACCCACAGCAGTGTCAACCCTTGGCCCTTGTCTCAACGAAGAATCAGGCCACATCAAGCATGAACAACATGAAGCACGTTGTGCTCCGCCTGGCAGCAGAACTGCTTTGCATCAATAGTCATCTATCTATGTCTCATTATGACAGAGTGACGGGGCCGCCAAAATCATCCCCACCTTCCAACATCCACTCCCCACTCTGCTGCAGGCGAAGGTCCAGCAAAGTTACCCTTCGCGACCGTACCACCAGGGAAGCCAAGTTGACGGCAAACAACATCCGCGCTCTTGTCGGTGAATCCCTCGGCGGCAGCGGTGAGCTTATTCCTAAACCCCAAAACCGTAATGTTCCGAAACCCTGCCCCGAAACGGGGCACCCAAACCCTGAAACAAACCACTATGTGGCTGCAGGATGCTGTAGCGATGCAGGGCGCAAGGATTCTATGGTCTGCTTGAAGGTTCATGGGTGCTCGCAAGCCGCAGCAAAAGCCAGCAAAGGTGCTACAAGCCTACTGTTACAGCCCAATGAAAACACTGACATCGACCCACATATACTCCACCAAGATTAAAGAGAAGCGGGCCAAGGATGGACTTCCCACTCCGACTTCAGTCTGCCGATACGTGCCTACAAAAACGCGGGCAACACTGTCAGATGGATACAGATGGCTCCCCACTTAAAGTGTAATGCACACTCCAGACATCAAACGCAGGTTCACGACGTCATGCGAGGCTAGGTAGGACAGGCGAGTGATCCAAAAGCTTTCTTCGCTCAAGGCCATGTGGCTTCATTGTCATTGCAGACGGTGCCCCAGCGATGGTGGTGGTAGACCTCGGGTCATCTCAAAGTCGAGGCTTGACTCCACGGCCGCCATGGTTGGGACAGGATGCTTGGATTCCAGCATCCTCTAAGTGAAGCGCAGGAATCGGAGGAACAACGTGGGATTTGGTCTGAGAACACGAAGTTGCGGGGCGGGGTTTGATGCAAGCCGTACTTTTCCACACTGATGGCTGAAGCTCCCGATTGTGGTTCTGCAAGCATCCTGGATTTTGAGTTTGAAACTCCGACCTCGACCCTGCCGCGATTGCGCTTCTCGCCCGCCAGTCGAACTCCGACCTGCAACGCACTGCAGCTGAGCATTCACTGCGTTCTGTTGCCAGTTCGCACACCAGTATCTTGTGTGCTTTAAAGCCGCGGTGGAATCGCCCGTGGCCGCGTCCTGAGCCCTGGGCCTCGATGGCGGATGGGAGGTTGAGCTTCTCGCAGACGATGCCCGAGGGATGAAGCGAAGCTGGCCAATCCTGCAGACGCAAAAGAAATCTCCAACATATCAACATCAACGCCGCAAGTCAGTCTGAACTTCCGAAGTCGAAATCCTAAGCTTCGGAGGCCCGAGGCTCGTGGAGGCCGGCTTTCTTCTTGGACTTGGCGTCGCCAAAGCCGAAGCCGGCGATCTCCGCTTGCTGGGCGTTGGCCACCCAGTCGTTGCTCTGCCAAGAGCCGCTCCTCAGCTCCAGCTACGAAGTCCATTTTCGGCAAAGGCCCGCGACGGCGGTGCTTCCCGGCTGCTATTCAAGCTAATAAGGGCGGTCTCGCAAGCCAAAGGCACCGGAGAATCTAGAGCTGAGTTCGTCTACTGTCTGCAGTCTGAGCAGGCTTCCCATCTGACACACAAACTCTTGGTGCTCTAAACCATGTAGTTTTGACTTTGTCATGGCTCGTGTAGGCAGCAGCGAAAACCGCGTCCAACTCGTTTGAAGCATTGGAGAGGTCGAAGTAGCTGTTTTTGAGGTCGTGGTCCTTGGGCTACCCGAAGCCACTCTCCCAGCAGGCAGCTACAAGCTTGTAGAAATCGTTTGGGTCGCATACCAAACCACCTATCAATGTAGGAAACTACCCACGTAAGTCACCTAAGTACTCGAAGAGCAGCTTGTGTAACAAATCCGTTCAGCATGAGCTTATGGCCCTACTTCTAGTCTCCGAACTAGCCTCCTACTCGTCACCCAGGTTACGGGACTGTGACTCTCATGGCGAACCCACAGAATTCCAAAGGTGGTGTTACTTGCAGTCCGTTGAAACGCGTCACGAGGGTAGATTAGATATGATGGTTTTGATAGGGGTCCTACTTCATTGGGAGTACACGATCGCGGAGCTTGAGCACAGAAAGCAAACCCAAAAGCTTGCGCGCTATGAGAAGGGCAATGGGGGGCTGAGGGGACCTGTCGAGAGACAGGTGCTGTTACAAACCGTACCGTCTTAAGATCGACAGCATGGCTTGTTGAAGTTGACATCCTAACTGCCAGGTACAGTAGCCGACAGAACCATTCCCCATTAGACATATTCCTGCGTGCACGTGAAAACACACAGTCATCGGAACTGAGTGCCCGCCTTATATCAAGGGGTGCTTCCTTTTTGGATTAGCTTGGGGCTCATCAGATCTTCCAGGGTTTGGGGCTCGGGGTGTCCAACCAGGGCACAATGGCCCAGGCAATTGGAACGCCTCGGTTCTGATTGAGATTGACGTGAGTCGCGTTCACAAAGCTGTAGACCTCGTCCAGCTCCTTCTCGGAGGTGATAGAGACGGGCTCCAAGCCATGCGCTTCACACTTCTCCTCAGCTCTTGACCGGGAGTGCCCGACATACGCAGAACAGGGTTGAAGTGGGCTGGCAGAAGGGCTTTCCGTGCAGCTGAAGCTCCCTGATCTGTTGGCTGAAAGTCCCGATGTCACCGCCCAGATCCTGCATTCCGTCTTTCAGGAACTGGTACCGGGCCTTCACGTAGCCTCGGACTCTTGGAAGCAATAAACTGCACCAGATGTTGGGCAGTTGTTAAACAGGATCACATTTCGCGGTTTCTCTAGACTATGCATTCGTCATCAACAGAGGTACAGTCAGGAGCTCCAATGTCTGCCCGGGTGAGTCTTAAAAGGTCTTCGCACTCTGCATCCCAGCCGACTCTCCGAAAACTCATCCTGTGGAAGGATGTTCTATATCTTTCCACGATATTCGAAAACTTCCAATTCCAGATCCGCCCAAGACATGTAGGATACCTGACAAACCTGATACATCCAGCACGCACTGCAAAGATGGCCCCCCTGGAGCCAGGTTCAATTCCCACCGAACCGGTGTCCAACCCAGCTCCAAGTTTCAACCGATCCGAGGTGCACTCACCGGTCCGGGGCCCGTTGCCCAAAGACGTGGGAACTGGGCCACGGAGGTGGTGGCAGTTGTTACCCTTGAAGCCAGAAGCGTACCTGAATCTTTAGGGCAGGTTAAGACCTATAGGGGTTCAGGGTGACCTGTAGAGTGTAGAGGGGAGCACTGAGCTTGTTGCTGACCTCGAAACAAGTTGAGTGAAAGGCAAAGCGTCTGCCAAGATAATTTCTGAGTCATTTGAAGTCCTCTTGATGGAGCCTTGTTAAGTTATCATGTATGCCCTTCAAGTAACGTTCCAGGATTGGAATGATCTGCCCTTGTCTTTGAATTGGGGCGTCATGGCCGCCATTACTCCGCTTCCAAAGCCTCAAAACTGGCAACAAACCACACTAGATCCACAGAAGCCCCCAACACAGAACGAGCAAGCAACCTCCCTAACCCCAAAAAGTCACTGTCAGAAAAGCATTCCAGAAAGGATCCAGAATGCCACTCGTAGGCTGCACAAGCTTCTGTGGCAGTACACGCGGCCTCTGCAAGATCCGCAAACTCACATTTCGGTGTTGCAAGAAGCCAGTTCTAAAGTCTGGCTCACACAGCTCTAATCCTCACAGGGTGATCCTTCCGTGCCCCATCGGGTCCCCAAACCGTCGTCCAACATTAGCGGAACCGAGATAAAGACTCCTTCTGTAAACGGAAACCCACGGTCCGTCTTGTAAATGCTTTGGAGCCGTTCTATGGCCAAGGTAAGCCCCCACAAGTCACGTCAGCAACGAGAGCCTGTTCCAGGGGTCACCTCTTAGCCTTGTCTAAACGCCTGGGCAGCTTGCCTCACTTCCTCAAAGCGGCGGGTGGTCATGATCGGCAGAGATGACGAGGGCACGGTCATTCTGCGACTATACAATACAAGAACATCGAGAAACAATACTCCTATGCAAAGGAACATGGCAATGGCAGGTCCGGCCTGACAGGCGGGCTTGCTTGCGTCCTGCAAAGCATGGCGCGTGAGCTCCTTGGTCTCCTCACCCGTGCAGCTGGCCTGGAAGGGAATGTAGCTGAGCCTCGAGGACGCGCTGCCGTGCCAAAAACAAGTGGCTCTTGAAGTGTTCCTACGCTACTGGGGAATGGAAGGAAGAACAAAGACGTCGGCTCAGGACAGAATTCCTCGGAATGATGCTTGAAATCGGTTCATGCGCAGGTTCAAGGCACTATGACCTGTGCGGAGTGCTTTCGACGTGCTTTTGCCATCCAGAAGCCGCGTGTGGAACTTGCAGTCGTTTGTGCAACCCGCCCATCTGAAGTTGGTGCCATCGTCGCAGACCTCGTCCTGTCGGGCGAGGCCATCACCGCAAAGTGCCACGCACTGCTTGCTTGGACCTTGACTGTGGCTGTGCTGTTGGCAGTCGCTGCAAGAACAAGAAAACAAGAAAGCAAGGTCGCACCTGAAGCCTACGGCAATCGCAGCAACAAGGAAACACTGGCTGTGTTGCAAGTGTCAACCAAAAACCTGACGATTAGAGGCAAACCAACAAGTCCTGCAGCTGATGTGCCCGAGGGGACGCGAGCTCAAAGTGGACATTGCACAGCCGGCAAAACCCTAACTTGAAACCTGCTCTGACACAAAAGGCTCCATCGCAGCCGAGGTGCGGGTGGTGCAGCCAAATCCGACTTCCACTTGGCAGCTGGAGTTGCAGCCTACCATGGTGTCGTCGCCGACGTCGCACTCTTCAGATCCGGAGATTTCGCCGTCCTAAGACCCACCCGGACCATCCCTTCTCCGAAGAACGAGCTCGTCTTGGGCCTGCGGAGACGAGTGGCCTTGCACCTTCAGAGCCTAAATAAATAAGACGGCCGCAGCGCATAGAGATGACCTAAAGGCCTGTGTGAGATGCGCAACAGCGTGAAGCGGAGAAGGTCCTCTTACGAGCCAATGTCCTACAGTATGTGAAATGGGGACCCGCCTGTCGTGCTAGTTCGTTACTCATTGGCAATAGAAGGCAGTCTACACTTTCTACGCTTCACCATGCTAATTGAGTGTCGGCAGTCCCTGGTCCCGGTCTGCCGGGGCGGACTCGGTCGTCGCTCAGCGTGGGACGTAAGCGGGTTGATTATGAAGTCTTCCTAAAACTTCCGGGTAGACCCTTGATCCAAGTTAGTGCAAGTCCGAGCATCCCCACAGCTTGCAGTCTTTGGGCTCGAGCCACAAACCCACAGCTTCTCAGCATTGCGGACTTTATAGATGACCTCGTTCGAGCGCAGCTCCGATTGGGCTGTTTGATGGAAACTAGACCAAAGGTTGTTCTAAGGCCGGCTTGGTGCAAATCTTGGGGAACCTCATTGTCAGTCCTAGAGACCGAGACAACCTATCTCGCATTCATTTTGCCAAGCGGCGAAGGTCATGCCTGCGGTGTCGCTTTGCTTCACATGAGCCCCACCAAGCTGGGACGCCATGAAGCCATCAGCAGAGGAAGAGCCAAGGGCAACCTGCCAGTGCTGGCGCAGTGCGAAATCGCACATAACATCAGGATCGTAATGGGAGATTCAAACATCAAGACCCCTGTGGCGTGGACTGTCTAGGTCTCCAGCCTGCCAAAGCTGGCAATCCTTCTCAGAGCCCGCACAGTAGAATCCGACGAGCGCACCGTTCTCCGTCTTCTTGGTCTTGAAAGCGAGGCCTTGGACCTTCTGAGACACAGGCGTCACGTGCAGCTCGTCCTTGACAGTCCTTGGCTGCTCTCCAATCAAATCCTGAGAATCGTGATCCATGCTCGTTCCATTTCAGTTCAACCTCAGGAGAGGTTGAAATAAATGAACGCCTGGCGTCAGCGCCTTCTCGAACGAGTCCGTCCTGGGCAGCTGCACGTCATGGCGGATCTTGACCGCGCTCCCTTGCACGACGGCGAAGACATAGTGGCGCTCACCTCGGCATTGCTTCAGCACCTCGTCCACCGTTGGAGTGGTTCCGGTCGCGGACGTGTCAAAGGAGAAGCACGGCTCCTCTTCAAAAGTCTTTGCGGCCTTGTCGGTGGAGTCCCCACACTGACAGCATCGCTGGGTATCGTCCTTCTTGCAGGTCGGACCTGTTCCACGGATTTACGCATGGCACCGGTCACCGGACATAATATCCGTATCTATCTTGTACACATGCACCATGAGTATGACAGAGACAAAGACAAAGCGTGAACAAGAGGCAGCGGGTAGCGTGGACGCCCGCGCCTAGGCACAGATGGGCCTCTGGCCATGGCTTCTGCTGGCAGCCTGCAGGGCATGCAAAGCCTCGGCGACTGCTCAGGACGCTCCCAAAGTGTCATGGTTGGATGTGAGTTTCCGACTGCTTCCGCCTCTTGAGGCACCTGCAACCCGTGATGGCAAGCGGCCAGTGCAGGGAGCCGAGGCTTCCAGAATAGGTACTGCAGCACGCAGGGCCTCGGCTGAGCGTTACAACCTCCTCGGGTTATTATGCTTCATCAATGAAGCTCTAAACTCTAAATTTAGGATCAATCACTGGGGTCGAACAGCAGTGCATGGCAAAACACCTTTTCTTTCTAGAGGTGTCCAACGTCACAGTTATCCTACCTCACAAACATCTCACGGAGACTTCTTCTGTTCCCTTGTGGAAGCAGTCTTTTGCGAAGGGCAGCATCCGCTGGAAGTGGCTACGAGAAACAGCCCAACCTTTCTCCAGAAGGACCTTTGAACACCTCAGCCGAGGAACCGTCCCAGGCTTGGGACTGTGCAGGACACCATGTTCCAAGTCCAAGGCATTGACCAGGATCGTATGATTGAAACCCGAAGGCCTCCAGGTCCCAAGGCGGCAACGGACGTAGTTGGATTTCTATCAATTTGCACTGTTTCGAAGTGCTCTTCGTGATTTGTTCAGGCGGCCTCCGGAACTTCTGAAAGCCTTCCTTGCGGGAGCAGAATATCTCGACCTGGGCTGTCGCTGCTGGTTGGCTTCAGGCTTTAGGGACTGTAGGAGTTTGCTTTTGCTTTATGCCGCAAAGCTTGGAGTTTGAGGCTTCGCCTTTTCCAGAGGAGCCACCTCCAAGTTAGTACTGTTTCAGGAAGGAGCAAGCAGGGCTAGTAGAAATAAAGGCCAAAGTGGCAAAAGGATGCGAGGACTTCCTTGCCGTCGCATTTCACAGACCGAAGAAGTAAGCAAATGGAGGATCTTCTTGAAGCATAAGCAAAGGAACCTACACCTGACATCACTGACATCCGGCTTTTAGGGTGTTGGTCCTGATGTAGTCAGAGGGAGCGGAACCCCCTAATTTTGACGTGCAAGAGATACTGGAATCCACCCGATGACGGTCCTGGCGAGCAATTTCAGATTCCTTGCCACGTTACAGCGCAGGACGCATTAGGAAAAACCTGCAACGCTTCGAGCGCAGCATGAATCACCACCGACAGTTTCCACAGCATTCTTTCTGGATTCACCAACTTTCTTCTGAGTCATGTTCCGCGTTGCCTCACATCGTGAAATGAAATGTCTACAAACACCTGCTCTGTAAACGCCAAGCCACCATGCATGTCGCAGAGCAGCCGTCCCCAGACTCCTGCCGAGATAAGCAGAGACAACAAAGAAATGTGTGCCGATCTACACAGTCTGCTCCTGCCGCAGCCTATCACGGGACGATTCAGCTCGTGAAGTCTATTCGATGTCTATTCAGCTCTGCAGCACCCCCAGGCTCCGTGCCACCGTCGTCGCACTGCTCCTTGCGCGAGAAGAGATGCCATGACGGCGTGAGATCTTCACGTGACCCCACATCCGAGTACATGGTACGTTCCAGCAGCACCGCGTCCAAGAGCCCAGTCTGATGTCTAGTCAGTCTGGAATATGAAAACTTCCATGCACCGAGACAGGCATGTGGTCCACTAATCCGAGACTACAAGGATCCTCTTGACTGCTTTGAAATCGAAGGGCTCCCTGCTACATCCCAAGCCCTCCGCCTTCTTCAGCTCCACAGTTCTGTGTGTGGGTGTGTCTCAGAAAACTCTTATTCCTAAACGTGCTGTTTGTGAACTCCATATGCAGATCCCGGAAACCGTCTTCGTAAGAGCTCGACTGACTTGTCCCAAGCACCAAGGGGATCGAGGTCGACAAGGAGGCTGGAGGATTCGATAAGCACAGGCTTGACAGAGTCTGAAAGCCCAACAGGGTTCCTGGAAGCCTGACTTGTCGTGGCCTTCCAGGCAAGCCCTTCCTCAATACCTACACTAACTCATCCCATCAGCGCTTAGGTGGGCTCGGGTCCTGGCCAGCGACGATCCCATCTCCGCATGTCGTGATGCAGGATTCCCCTGCTTTCGCACACCTGACTTCATTGTTCACAACACTCCGTGACAGCCCAAACTGCTCGAGCATGCCGTGCTGGTAACGTGCACGTCTGGCGATGCCTGCAGCCGCATGCGCCTATGTATCGATTATCGGCATATGTTCGAACTCGAATCTGCGGGCTCTGGAATCTCTAGAAATGATGACGGTTCTTGCACGAGTCTTGGTCTTGCACCTCAAACCTAACCATGACTTCAAGATGGCTGGCGACGGCTGGTGTTTCTCAAGCGCCAGTTGGAGGCACAAACATAAACGAGTTTTCACCTGGCCACGTAAAGCCAGGGTCAATGGCGCGGCAGTCGGCGCGGCAGCCATCACTGCTGGCCTACAGGGCTTTGCCGATTGCTGGTGATGCGCAAACGGAGCAGTTGAGATCGGGCTGTGAGGTGGCCGAATATGCCGGGAGTATGAGAAAATTGCCAGACCCATTCGCGCGGGTGTTCGCTGCATCAACTGGGCTCCTATGGTAGAAGTTTGCTTGGATTTAGCATGTAACGGTCCTGTTTGTGGGAACACACAATGTTGAGGAGGGCCGCGGCTTGCTGCAAGTGCGAAGCATGCGTTATTCGGAAGTCAAAGCAGCACTGCAGAACCTTGAAGCCTTGTGCACTCACCCCGGCTTCGTTTCTCGAGGACATCTGTTGCGTTCCGGCTTAGGAGTTTAGTTCCCAGACTCTTATCAGGGGAATGGTTGGGTGCTTCAGGCCGCAGGGTTCAGGCTTCAGGCGGCTCGGGGTGGGGGGGAGATACCATTGGGTGGGGGCGAGAAATTTCTGGAACCAGAGTCTTGATCTGCAGCTTTTTGGGCCCTGTCGCCCGCTCAAAAAGTCTTTGCCACCACGTGCTTAAAGAACACAAACCATTTTTGAGTCCGGAAGCTTGCCAGCCTGCACCTCACCGTGCACTATCCGCATTGCTTCCGCATGAACGTGGATTACAGGCTCGTCAGGAAAGTTGACTTGATCGCACGTAGCGATGATGCAGCCGAACAATACCTTAAACATGAGCTCCTTGGCTGTCACTTTCAACCGGAGGCCGTGAAGGTGTCAAGTGAAGTGGAGGCACCACCGTACCTTGTTGCACTTTGAAGCCTGTTCCTTACAAGTACTAGCCAGGATATGATGAACCATATTCACGTGAAACTCGCTCTTGTGGTGCCTTATGCTATGTTGTTTCTTTCCGTCTACTGTACATTTACAGCCTGTGGGACCAGGAATCTTGCCTGCCTGATTGCCATCATCACAAGCTTCCCATGCGTCCACGCGCCCATCGCCACAGAACTTCTCTGTCTGCAGACTCTGCAAGCGCTTGTTCCAAATGTGCAGCCTAAGGGAGGTGGCGGGACGGCCAAGGGTTTCGGGTCCGGGGTGCTGCTTCTCGCTCTCCTTCGTCGGGGTGTCAAACCCAGCTCCCAGCAAAGCTCGTCTCAGCAAATTAAATTGATTGGACCCAGCTTGCATAACCGATAACCGCGTGGCTTGGGAAGGAAGATGGCCTTGTTCAGAGGAGACCAAAGATCCTTGGAAGTGTTGGCCATCGCTGCTGGGTCCAGCATGTCGTCAGGAAAGCTCTAGCGAGTTTAGTGGCTAGAGCGGTCCAATCTTTCCTCGGAAATGCGTTCTGCTCTGCTTTTGGACACTGATGAGCCTGGACTGGGATTTGGCTCTGTTTGTCACATAGACGGGGCCAAAGCCTACAAGTGCTTGAAAAGCCCTTTCTGATTTGGAATACATAGCCCTCCCTGTGAAATTTCAAGCCCTTCAGGGCATGAGGGCCGGCCACATGACTACACACCTCTGCAGTGGCAGCAGTGGATGCTCACGACGCGCGCCCTGGTGTGAGCGCATTGGGCTGCGCCCCAGACCTTCTGTCTCATTGCTTTCATGACCCACCTTCGAGGACTACTAGCTAGTAGTTCTGGCAGCGAACATGCCGGTCCTAGCCCAAGGATCAATGGGTGTGTCAGAGCCGCGGCTGCATACTTCCATCTTGTGCCGACACCTCCTTGGCCGGAATGCAGATTTGTATCTCTGTAAATTGTCGGGGGTTTGGCAGAGTCCTTGTCATATGGTGCCCTTGCACGTTGAGAGTGAGGGGAAAAGCCTCAACACCGTTCTACTGCAATGCAATCCTTATCTTTCAGTACCTCGTGCATATGATGACGAGCAGAGCATGTTCCGACGAATCGCGTCCAGCTGCTGCAAGTGGTGGTCGGTGGTTCAAGGGACATGTACCCTACAAGGCCCGGGCATAGGGATTTAGCTGAACCTGCTTTGGCTTTGAGTCTCATACTCACAAACTCCGCTAAAGAGGCCTCACACGAAGGCCGCAGGAGCTTTCCCTGGCAGGAGAACCCTTCAAAGGATCTGAGGTATTTTGACTATGAACCACGTACGCAATAATGGAGCATTCATTTCAAATGTGCAATGCCGAGCTGCTTGTTCACCGTGCCATCCGAGCTCACGGCTGCAGCACAGAAACAGAAGGCACCTCGCTTGTCTGATGAGGGATGCGAGGCTTGGGACGAGTTGGACCTCCGCATGTCTCCAGACAAGCTGGCCCATCGCTTTGCGGGCTGGGATCTAAACGAACGAATCAACTCAATTTTCGGCACGATCATGCCAGCAACTGAAGCAGACAACGTGCTGTCATCCGCGACAGTCACATACCTGACCGGTATCTACGAGTTGAGGAAGCTTGGGTGGGGTCGCAAACCCAGCAATGGCAGAAGCCCAGAGCTGTCCCCGGCACGATCTGGCAACTTGGAGGTCGCTGCATCCGAAGGCTGCAAGACCTGAGAAAGCAAGCACCCAGGCATGATGGCTGGATGACTCACTTTCATGCACAGACACGTGACTTTTTCTAGAGAGCCAGCTACTTCGGGATGCTATCCCCTTTACGACCAGGCACCACTGCATTCCCAAGGGAAAAGACGGCCGCACAAGCAATCTAGTGCAATAAATTATCCGGAATATTCCAAATGATCTTCGCAGGTCCCCTGCCTCATAGGCAGCAGCTCCCTTGTCTCGCCTGAGCCACGGAAACTAGACAAACAAGTCAGCCTTGCCTTCTGTGGCCTGTCACCTGGAGGCTGTACTAAAGCAGGGACCCAATGTCGCCAGGCCTTTTTTATATGCTGCGCATGGTGCACGAAGGACCGCGAGACGGCTTGTCGTGCGGAAGCAATCCATATAGAGATGGCAGCGAAAGCTTCAGCACTCAATCAGTGCTCCGGTCATACAGCCCAAATCACAAGTACCCAAGACTTTGTTGTTGTTAAGCGGACTCCCTACGCCAGCCAAGAAGCTTGCAAGCCAGGACCTGGAGGCAATCGAGGCTTCAGGTGCGAAAAAGCTGACCAATGCTGCAAGTTCCGATCGTCAGCTTTGGGAGTTGCACATCTAAGGCTTCAAGGCGTGGGAAGGGTACAGCAGCTGTTCCTTGGCTCGCAAACTTCAATGAGGGTACGGTGTGCCGTGAGCAACCAGCCTCAAATCATTGTCTTCCACTTCTTTCTTCATTTGCTCCAAGAATCGAACGAATTCAAGAAGGTTGTACACGTTGACGTGGGACGCTCCGAAATCATTTTTTCACAGCTTCCGAGCCATCGGAAACCTGAAAATTAGCTTTACGTGTGATACACAATACCTACTTATTTCTTTGGATGGCAGCTTGGGTCGGCTAGGATTTTGCCACTTTGAAATGAACTTGAATCCACCACTCGTGGTGCAAACTTCGCAAAGCAACACACACACACAGCATGCATGGAAAGGTCTTACAAGTGCGCACAGTCTGCAAGTGCAAGCTGCCACCCGTGAGACCATTATGTCGCAGCATCAGGAAAACCATCTTTGAGTTCTGATTTTGATCATGCTTGTGAGTGCTGGCATGGGCGCCACATGGTGGCAGGCCTACAGAAGGGAAACACAGAACCCGATATCCCCTGCGGACTGCTGACAAAACTTGCGGCTGTTATCAAAGCAGCAAGTTCCTGTGGTGGTCACTCGCTGCCAGTCGGGGCTACCAACCAACGGGATACGAGTGTTTAGATAGAAGTCGAGCTTTGCAATAAAACCTGCATAAACATAGGCAGAAATCTTGTAGGATCTTGTAGAATCCCGCAAGGGGGGCAGTCTTCAGCAACGGTTCGATTTCACGGCAGCCCTAACTTATGAAAGCCCAAATCTTGCGGCACAAATGCACCCTCCGAGCCCTCATGTGAAACCTGCGACACGCAGGAATACGGGCCAACCAGCACCCACACCAAAGTTGGGGATGTGCTTGGCTGCCTCGTGTTAAAGTATGAGCATATCACGACCCAACAGGCACGGCTTTTCCGAAGCTTACCCTGAGGTGTCGCTGACCCTGAAATGGGCCCTGACTGCCTGACTTGGCAGCTGTGCGTTGACGTCCTGAAGCTCAGTGGGGATGGGCCGACGCACATCAATCCTCGGAGTATCAGAGTGTCGGAGGAAGTGTGATTATGCGGATACGGGGCGTGAAACCGGAGCTGTTGCCAATCTATATGGAATCATAATCCAAGCACGCTCCCCCGATTCAATCCGCCAACGTGAGGATCCCTCAAAGTATCACATCGTGAAGGAAGAGTAGGAGGCTGTTCTCAAATCGCAAGAACTCCCCAAACCAAACCTGTAGCAATGCTCAACCAGCGTCTCCCAGCCGGAATGAATGCCGTCTTCCAGCAAGAGGCCTGCAGGCGGCGACAAGCCGATCAGAGCTGGCGATTAAGGCTTTTGCAAACTGCACTGAGGAAGACTGTAGCTGACATGCTTCTTGAAGAGGCAGACACCCGACTACCCCTGAACAGCAGTTGCCATAGGTACAAACACACGCCGATCATGCAAGTCCTCGGTGGCTGTGCGTATGTGGTCGAGTCCGTCTAGGGACTGCGCAAGCTTTTACAGGTGCTACGAGCTGTTTCTGCCTTCACTAGACCAAGCGACAGTCCATCTCGGTTGTTTAAGCATGGGTGACGCAGTGCATATCTCCGCGAAGTCCTGTTGGGGCCTGACCGGCCTGAAAGTGAGCGTCCAGTTCCCGGGGACTCTGACTTTGTGTTTGGGATACGTCTATAAGATGAGGCACACGACACAAGTTGTACAGCATTGAGTCAGGCAGATTTGGTGTGTCACGTTTGCTCTTTTTCGATCACAAGAACCACCAAGGACCTTCACTGACCCTGTGTTGCAGGACGTCCATCGATCAGGCCTTCCGGGTGCTGCAACACCATCAGCAGCCTCCGATGACAGTAGTTTCGGTAACCAAAATCAACAACATTGGTCTCAGTCTATGATAAAACTGATTGATTTGCAGTGGAAAGCTGAAGCTCGCACGTAGTGGACTGCACAGTGACACCGTTACGTGGCTTGTTGCAGGCATGGCAGCGATGCTGAAAGGGGCAGCAGGAGCGGGCAAGTTCTGTCAAGTCTTCGAAACAACCCGGCAGCGGTTTGCAGCACAGCTAAGCGGCTCTGCGCCGTCATCAAGCTGGATCCGATCCCACGCCACAAGCCTAGGATACTGCAGGCATGCAAAGTCGGGATCGAACAGCAGGTCTGAATGGCGCAAGGGTCCGGAATCTTGAAGCTCTTCAGTACAATCGCCATTAGGAAGGCCAACAACACAGGGAAATCCTCGTTGCATCGACCCAGTGGCGCCGTTGAAGAGATCGACGGCAGCTTCTGCAACAGAGCGGAAACACAGCCTGGCATGAGCAGTGAGCCTCCAAGACCCGAGGTGATGGCTGAACATGAGTGCCCATCGCGATGTGACTGGTGACATCACAGACTTCAGCGTTTTCTTAGCTGTAAACAACACCTCTACAAGCCTCAGCCAAAGTTCAGCCACGCCATTGACTTGCCCTATATCAGCCGCCACGCGAGAAAGACCCTGGCATCGAGACTCCGGAGTAAGGATGCCACCTGCCCTCTGACGAGTACCCTGCCTGCCCAAGCCTCCACGGTCCCCGGCAGAAACCGCACGAAACCCCCTTGCAAGACAAACGAAGTGGCCTGAAGGAACAGGGCACAGCTGCCTGGTTCCAGGCTGCAGGAACACGCAGCGGCAACAGTAGCATGAACATCTATCCTCCCGGCAACTACCTACGCTGCGTGCGCAAGGCTGAAAGGCTTGATATGCAGCCACTGAAAATCTCTGCCTGAGGCCCTGCTTCAACAACTTCCGGTGCAGCAGAAGAAGCTGGTGGGAAGGGTCCTTGCCAGCTCAAGGCTTGTACTCAGAGCCTTCAGGGTACCCCAGAGCCCCCTTGAGCCGGAGGTCAGAAGGCTCGCCCAGTGCAAACACTGTAAACTCGTCACCTCTGAAGCTGTCGGGGCGGACCGTGTTGTACAGGTGCTGTGAGGGACAATCTCGCTATGGCTTATCTGCCCGAACCCACCAGCCTTTTCCAGCTTCGGATGGGCAAGTGAATTTTGGTGAAGGCCCAGAGTCCTTCGCCGGCAGCTCGAAGCTCTGCAAGACGGCCGCGAACTGCTGCACAATGCCGGTCCAGGCCTCCCCAATAAAAAGCGATGAAAGTCTGCTGAAATTGTCTGCGACCAGACGTCTGGCGAAGGTGCACGACCAAAAAGACACATGCAAACCGTGCAATCAGCGGCGCCTCTGAGATCATGTCGGCTGACTGCGCACCTGGCAACCAAGACTGGAGCTGCAGAATTCCAAGGCATGCTAAACTACAACTGTGTTAGATGAAAGAAATCGGGGCGGCACCTATTCGGATTCCGATTTACTTAAAGAATGAATGTGGCGCTCCTCTCCAGGTCGCGCTGTAGCATCTGTGCTTACACATCAAAGGCGAATTCAACACTTCTGCGTGCACACGCTTCCGTGCAACGATCAGCCCTGGCCTGAGCATGCCTGTAACAGGGTAGCACATGGGAGTGCGTCCGGAATGCAAAGACCGATTGCATGTAAACTATCATTATCATCTCGTGATGACCAACATAATTTTCACACGTCCCTCATGCAGTTTGCATCTCGAACTTTTCGCAACCTTGGTGTGGAAATTTCGACCATCACCTCGCATTGCCCCTCCCCCATGTGGTTGTGGTTGGCTGTGCCCCTTCCATGACTATTACTGGTTGGGCGTCCGGTTGCTAAGGGTTTGGGCCTGAAGATATGATACAATTTCATTGAACTCCGACCTGTCCTGAACTCAAATGATGATGATGATGATCATGATCCCCATCCGCAGTCTCCTCCGGCCACTTGCTGAAGAGTCCATGGAAGTCATTCAAAAACGTGCTCAAGCTTACGTTCAAAAAACTCAACCGAAACTTGCAGTGCACGCGGGCACAGGGGCCACATCATGGCCATGCGCTGCTTGCGCCGAAGGCGCAATTGCCGATTGCACTGATTGCGCTGGGATTGCGCCGACTGCGCTGATTGCGATTGCGCTGGAATTGCGCCGGAATTGCCCCGAATTTCGCTGAAACTCCGCCTCGAATCGATCATTGTGGTGAATTAGTAATGTCTACTAAGTCATTGAATCTACTTGCCTATATCCACATAATACGTGACTTATACATATATCCATACATACAGACATACATATATTGTAAACATGGACCGCTAGTGTAGAAAGCGTTGTATTTTGCCTATCGTTTCTCCCGGGCCTAGAAGTTGATCGGGCTGAGGGATTCCAAGGATGGGTGTGGACCCCGGGGGCGGTACTAAGGGGTTTGATCCCGACGAGCACCCCCCACCCTCCCCAGTCCCCTGCTAAGGCGACAGTGGATCTCTGCATATCTCTGCGACCTGCATGTGCTTCTACATGTTCCTTCGTGGTACATGTACAAAACAATTCATTGATAGGCAGCCATGCGCATCGCACACCGGGTGGCAGATTCGAGACTGCCCCTTGTGACAAAGCCAATTTCGGGTTGCAGCGGCTGGCTCCCTTGTCCCTGCATGTCTGCATGTGGGACTCACCTCTATGCCATCGTAATTTTCCGAATTGCAAAGCTGGGATCAAGAAATCCCCATTTATTTTCAATCCAGGTTGCAGCAGTGGGGCTCCCTGGTCCAAGACATCGTGTATCTATTCCAGGTTGCAGCAGTGGGGCACCCTGGTTGAGTAAGTACATCCTGGATCTATTCCAGGTTCTAGCAGTGGGGCTCCCTGGTGGAGTACATCGTGTATCTATTTGCTATCCAGGTTGCAGCAGTGGGGCTCCTTGAGTGCATCTTGTATCTTTTCCAGGTTGCAGTGGTGGGGCTCCCTGGTCGAGTACATCTTGAATCTATTCCAGGTTGCAGCGGTGGGGCTCCCTGGTCGAGTACATCGCGTATCTATTCCAGGTTGCAGCAGTGGGGCTCCCTGGTCCAGGACATCGTGTATCTATTCCTGATTGCAGTGGTGGGACTCCCTGGCATAGAGCTACAATGGGAGCGGATGATGGAGAAGACCATGAATTCATAGATTACACATGCAGCTTGCTTGCTTGCCTGCCTGCCGTGCGCGGGGCCATGACGTTTTCGGAGCTCCGTGCCCCCTTTGTGTCTTAACCCCTTCGGGTGCGGAGACAACGCGGGTGCCCATCCCTTTGCCGGGGGATGTCTTCTCTCTCTTTCTCTCTTGCCTATCGTTTGGACAGCGGGCCGAATCTGCATGATAAGCCCCAGTTGTGAAGACAGTTTCTCTGCACCACGACGTCAGGCCGGTATTGTGTTGGAGCCCTCACATCCTGCGCGTATCCTCATGGGGATGATGGTTACGTTTGTGATTGCCATGCGTGACAAGGACGGAATGGTGGAACACGCCCAACAAAGCACAAACACAAAGAACTGTTACAAACCTTGAGAATCTTGACGCCGAGGATGGAGCCCTGGACTGGAGGAGCGCCCCTGCGTTTTGAAATGAGAAGTCTTAGAAACCTTGAACTCCGAGGGTGGGACCTTGGACTGATGGGGCGCCCCTTTTGTTTGAAATGCGAACTCTTACAAAGCCTGAACTCCGAGGACAGAGCCTTGGACTGATGGGGCTGCCCTTATTTGTAAAGGAGAGTTTTTACAAACCATTGAACTCCTACGGTGGGGCCTTGGACTGATGGAGCGCCCCTGCTTTTTGAAAGGAGAACTCCTATTTTTAACGAGATCTCTTGAAAAGATTGAACTCCGAGGACGGATTTAAAGCAGAACTTCGTTTTAATCAGACCTTTTGCAAAGCTTGAACTCCGACGGTGGGGCCTTGGACTGATGGAGTGCTCCTGTTTTTGATATGAGAACTCTTATTTTAAATGAGAACTCTTGGAAAGCATGAACTCCGAGGACGGAGCCTTGGACTGATGGGTCGCCCCGTATTTATAGATCAGAGCTCTTACAAGGCTTGAACTCCGACGGTGGGGCCTTGGACTGATGGATTCCAGCGCAATCAGCGTATTCGGCGAGTTATATGTATATATTACATATATACACACGGAATGTCAAGTGAGGTTGCGACGAACCACCTGATGCCCAGGTCTCAAGTGACCACACATCAGAGACTTTTGACATGTCACATCATGCTCAAGAACGTCGAAGAAGCACAGCAAGAAGTAACCCTGCCTGAACCTGCCAACCTGCCTAAACCCCAACACGGCCTGACTACCTGCAAGGACACCGAAGGCGACGGAAGAAACATGGACTCATGCACTGACTGTTTCTGAAGTTGTACCATCGCTGCAGGAGAATGACTGGGTGGGGTTCTCGGCTTTGCCCCGCGCCATATCCAAACACATTGACAAATAGCGAAGTGAAGAATAACCAATGCACAGCGAGGATGCTAGATGCCAAATACGTTCATTGAGCAGGTACACACCGGTGGCCAACCGGTGCTTCCCCCACCATACCATAGCTTCGTTGCGTCAGGTAGGCATGGTGGGCCTGACGCCCCTGCTGTATAGTCTTGTCCCGGAAATGACTGCAGAACGTGAGGTGAATGCCCTTGGATACAGGGTTGTCACACACACACACATAAATTCCTCAATACATGACTACACAATGCATACATACATACTCACCTAGATACTTACTTATATCCGTATCTTTACTTTTGCTCTGGGTTTGTTCCACAGAGATCAGAACTCTTACAAAGCTTGAACTGCGACGGTGGGGCCTTGGACTGATGGATTCCAGCGCAATTCCAGCGCATTTCCATTTGTAAAGCAGAACTCTTGCAAAGCTTGAACTCCGACGGTGGGGCCTTGGACTGATGGAGCGCCCCTGTTTTTTTGAAATGCGAAGTCGTACAAAGCTTGACTTTTAAGTCAGAACTCTTACAAAGCTTGAACTCCGACGGTGGTGGGGCCTTGGACTGATGGAGCACCCCTGTTTAGCGGGTTTTACGGGGTTTACGGGTTTAGCGGGGTTTTACAGGTTTTGCGGCTTAGCGGGTTTAGCGGGTGTTACGGGTTTAGCAGAGCGCCGCCCCTGTTTGCGCGCGCAATGGGAAACTTGGCATGGAACGGTCGATAGAAGCTTCGAAAGGAAATCAAGCCAAGCAAGATGTTTCGACTAACCTTGCTGTCCGGTGAAACACTGGCTACTGGTACTTGCCAGAAGTGGTGAGAGTAATGGCAGCTTCGGAAACTGCTACGCTGGACAATGGCGAGAGGCACTGCGACAGCTACCTGAAGAGGGTAGTACACTGTAACCAAGGCAGCTACAGTAATGCGCAGCGGAAGAATTGCGGTGTTCAGCTGAATGAAAGCAATGCTGTACCGAGGAGGAGGGCGCCATCTGTGACATTTCGTTCGGATGATAGGTCTGGCTTGGCCCTGCAGATGAGGGGGGCGTATACTATGGGGGTAGGGGGTGGGGGGGTTGGCGGCATGGACGCGCCGACGTGAAACCATGTATGCATCATACATGTGTATACGAAGTGTAGTATAGCCCCTTCCTCCGGGACTCCCAATGAAACCTCGATAAACATTTCATGATAAGGGTGGTTGTTATCTCTACTGTCACTTTCGGGGGCTCTTGCTCAATGCTCCTGTTTGCTCTCGCTTCTGCTCTTTCTCCTGCTCCTGCCTTTGCCCCTTGCTCTGGCTGTGAGTCCGGTATTTAATGAACAAAGGGAATTGATTACGTTGTGCGCTTGGTCTACACCCGGCTGAATCGTCCACCCTTCTGTTAAAACGATGCTACATGCTTAGCGGCTGGAGTTGAGGCAAGGCCGCCCAAGGGCGGGACTCTGTACGCATGCAATTCCTCCCAGCCTGCGACAGCACCTGGCGCATGGGTCTTGATGATCAGCCTTGGCTTATCCCAAGATGTGGCGGTCACTTTGCGAACTCCTTCTTGCACCGTGCGCTGCCACATTCACAACGCGTGGAGAGTTGTGGTGTCATCTCGTGCAGTGGTTCTGTGTGCTGTGTGCTGATGGCTGTGGGGCTGTGTATTACGGGTGCTGTGGCCATCGTCGTCTGTAAAGCTAATGATGCTGCGGTCCATCAGGTCACGTCACACTATGCTGCAAGCCGGGGCTGCCATATCAAGTTGCGTCGTGGTGTCTTCGGCTATGTAACGATTCGGTGTGCAGCGGTATGCTGATGCTGGGTCATGCTACCCGCGACATGCTAAGCCGCAGCGGCGCATGCCACCTTCGCACTTGCTGTGCTACTGCACTCTCAGTACTGCTACATTGTGAGCAACAACGTTCAGTAGCACGCGAGCAATACTATGGGAACGTCACGAAGTCATGTTTTCAAAAATGTATTCCGAGATTTTTGGGAGACCGAGAACCAAACCAGGCCCGTAGAATCCTGATGCTTCCCAGACTGCATTTCGGCTCTTGCTCTGCAGAACCGGTTCACATGGTCAACCCCGATCGGGCTTGCGGCAAGGCTTCTTCCCTGGGGGCTCTTATGGCAGGTGGGGGGCTACAACGAGTTGAAATTCCCGTCAACCGACGCATTTTGTTGGGCATGTTTGCCATGGCCTTTTGTGTTGTCTGAATTCCTTTCGAGAGTCTTGGTTTCAAGTTTGCTCTTTCTGGGTTGTGCTGCTTGCAGTCAAGCGTCTGCGTCAGGCGTAGCAAATCCCGAGAACGATCGATCTGCTTTGACCTTGAAGTGCTAAACATTGCAAGCCTTCGCACGCCCTTGCACGTCGGAGGTGAAGAACGACTGCGGGAACATCAAAAACGTGGTCAATGCTAAAATCCCCAGCGCAGATTTCCAGCATGCATGATGAATGCAGGCATGTACTTCAAAACCCGCACGAAGCGATGGTATGTGATTGAGCTTGTGACACAGTTCTCCTCCTGTTTTTCATTGGAACGGCCCACATTAAGGAACGTCCACTGACATGAAGCAACCCGATGGCCACTCATGTTTCGGCGTTCTTTCGGGATATTTAGCTGCGACCTTTAGCGTGGGAGCCGAAACATCGGAGAACAACCCCAGTGATGAAGTCAGGAAAATACCCCAACCGTGCACCTAACCTGATGGCCTCCCTGGGTTGACATGCCAATCATGCGGAGGCCCAGGAGGGCACTTCTCTTTAACAAGTCGGACCCCGGAGATTGCACTACAAACTTTTTGAGTGCAGCATCGGGACAGCGACTTCAAGATCTCCGTCGCAGATTCCTGGAGAACCTTCCGCCTCATCAGACGCAAGGTTTGGACAACTGAAGATAGTCTGTCACAAACTACAAGATTGATAGATGCCATGCATGAGTCGAAGCATCTCGTTGAATCATGTTGCCGATCCCACGCCGCTGACACTGGGTGCAGCATGCACGCTTTACGGCCGCTGTCATAGGAACCCACACTGTAAATTTCATCAGGAGCTGAGACCAGTAAGAGAGAATCAGAACAGTCACTGTTGTGGCGGTGCGTTAAGTCCGTAGTGCTGAACCGAACCCTGCGACAATCCCCATAAGTTGATGCAAAAGGGCCCCGGCCATTCGCGGGCCTTCGCGGTTGGGGCTGCGCTTGTGCTCAGGATTAACCCGCTGTCCTAGCTCTTCTGAAACCCTGTGACTTTGAGCGACTGCCGGCAAAATGGCATGATTGATATTGTGGTGTTCGGCAGTCCAGCTGGGATCGTGCAGCCCAGCCGCACCACCATCATAGATTCGGGCGAGAAATATTCCCGGCACAGAGTGCGGCTCGAGGATGCCGAGGGCGCCGAGCTGTTCCGCAGCCTGCTGGCTTCGACGGCTATCCTTGGACGAGGGGCAGCTGAGAGTAAGATTGCAGCCGATAAACTCGTGCGCCCTGTACGAAGTAGCGGGCTACCTCCTCCCAAACCTCACCAGATCTCAGAGCCAGGTGTCAAAGCCTTCTCCACAAATCGGCGCAGGAGCCGGCCCTCTGTGAGGACTCGTGACATCAGGGCAAAAGCGTCCCGGGCCTGGTTCTGGAGTTCCAGGAAGTGATGCGGATTCGAGACCATCCCTCGGCTTTCAGGGGTTCGAATTTGAGGATGAAGGCTTAGGATTCAGATGATTCAGGATTTCGGCTAGAGTCGGGAGTAATTGTATTCTGAATCAGCCGCCGTTCGTTGAATTGCGTATACGTGATAATGCTATCTGCTGACCACACAAAGGGCCGCTGTTTCTTGTAGCCTGAATAGAAGAACCAGTTTGGCAGGCTCCTGACGTCCAAATCCGAAATTTGACACTGGCGCCTGCTGCGGGGTGGTTGGGACATCTGCAGCGAAACAACAAAACACAGCCTAAACATTTTAGAAGGCCTTCGCTGGAAAAGCCGATCCAGACATGGTCAAAATACTGTTTCCAATTAGTTTGAAACCAAGATTCTGTAGGTGCTGTTGTAGATCTGCCTCCTCGCAACGACTTCGGCCCAAGGCACTTGGCAAGATTCGTAGTTGCTGATAGCTTTGCCATAGTTCAAGCGCGATTCCTGCAATGGACAGGGCGATCACTCCAAATACTGCCTCTGTTTCTGATTCGTTGTCGTCAGTCCAAACTGCTGAGGGTTGGATTTGCCGACTAACACACCCTACGGACCTCTCCGCAGGGAACCATGATATATTATCACAACGCATGCATCCACATCCAGATTTGGGATTGCTGGCAGCTGGCTTACACCTCCCAGCTCGTCCTACAACGTGTGACATTGGCATGCCCGACAAGCCTTCGCTGGACTCCTGCGAGGCCTCTTTCAATCTAATAGAACACCCTACAATTCAAAAAGGTTGCCTCCAATACCTTTGCTACTATTCTTGCCCAACCGTGTTCCGTGCCGGAACTGCCAAAAATTGGACTCAAAGACGCTCAGAGAACCTTCCTTCAACCGAAACTCCAGACAACGTTCGCGCTTGATCGCGCCACCGCTGCTCTGAGAAGAACGCTTGATGAGCAAATAAAACCAGTGTCGGCGCCGTCTTGAGCGCATGCATAAGAAGTGCTGCCGGTGCCTAGCTGCCTAGCTGTGATGCAGGCCTGCGAACCATCTGCTCCGCCCTTCTTCCTCGTGCTCTTCAAGTCAACCTTCTTGTTCACGGCTCCAACCAAGACCACGCCGCGCCTCTCCTCGGGTGACGGGTCGACGCACAGGGTCACCTGTGGGAAGTCCGGGCTGCGTCGAGGCCCGATAGGAAAGGCTTGCCACCCGAACTGGAAGTCCTTGCTGCTGCCGTAGCCAGCCTGTCGAAGTAACAGCCACTCGTCGTCCTCGCCGCGCTTTTGTGGCTTGCCGCTCCAGCAGACAAATAGCGCGGGGGTGACGAGGACAACAAGCCGCCCCGCCCCAAGGCGATGGCGGCGGACTACGTGGTGCCGATCACCGGGAACACGGTGCCGATCTTTCAGGAGCATAGCAGGTGCAGCAAGCCGGGCTGCAAGGTGATGGCCTTTTCGGCGGCGCGGGAACGAAAGTGGAACTCAACCGGCGCGGCGTCTTTGGAAAGCTTGTCCGACTGCTATTCGTGCTCGCTCGTGCCTCTACAGCACCGGCATCCAATGCCACCCGCCCGACGAGCTCGCCACGATCTCGAGCAACGTCTTCGAAACCTCTGGTGGCGGAACCTTCTACAAGAGACGGCCAACGAAAAGATCGGGAGTCGCGCCGGTGGCGCAGGTGATGGAATGGGACACGGTGTCAGTGTCCAGCACCGAGATCTGAAGCCGATTCATTCGTTCAGGACTATGCCGGCACTTGGTGCCGCGAGCGCGGAAAGTACTTGTGAGTCCAACCGACATGAGTGGGACCCCGGTCTGATCTACATCAACTACCCTTGTCCCCGAAGGGCGCTAGCTGGCCGGCCAGAATCACAGCACCATGACGACGGTGAGTTTTAACCTTATCTACTTTGTCTCCTACGAGGCCGTTGCTCAGAGTCAGTGCCAGCGAGGCGGCCACGTGGTGATGTGTGTTCCGGGGTCGTTGGAAGTGCTCCTGGACCTGCGCAAGAGCACATTCACCACAGCCTGGCAAAAAACATGGGGCACTCTGGCATCATCTGGCTTCCCATCACGTTTTCGCAGAGTATCTATGCCTTGGACGGGGAGTACCGCGATCATGTCCGACTCGATGATGCGATCTGTTGGGCGGGGTATGTTCGTTGCGAACTCCTTCGGCGTGACCCTGGATTATGACATCGAGCTGCGAAGGGCGAGCGACAACCGGAAAATCAATTTTGTGAGGGCAAACGAGGACGATGATAAATGGAAGCTGCCCCTCGATTCTGAGAAACACGATGCAACACGATGCAACACAATATCTTCCTCGACCCGGAGGTCTTGCACTATGGCCTAGGGGCTCGCTATGCTAGGAGGCTACCTCAGCAGCATCGGGTCTGGATGTCATGGCCTAAACCGACGTGTGGGAATGGTAGGCCTTAGTGCCGCCTAACCGGACAGACGGGACTACTAGGCAAAATTCATCAGCTGCTCTAGGAAAGCAGCACGTCCGGCCTTGCCCGACGTACGGGACTACTGGGCCGCGGCAGTCAAACAGCCTTACCCGACGAACGGGACCACTAGGCTAAGCCAGACTTTGAGAGCAAAAGCCTTACCCGACGAAACTACTAGGCTGATGCATGGCCGTTCCATTCAAGCTTGTAATTGACGGGCTCACAACGGCCTGAATGCTGCTCGTCGTGATATCGGAAGGGCTAAAACTCTTGCACTGATTGCCCATCTGCTTGCTCGCTATCGTCGCGGAAGGAAACCAAAGGTGAATAAAGAAAAACTGTTGACAAGTACAACTGGTACAGTGAATCGAGAAAAAACAGCACTTTTTGAGACCGCCAGCATCTCACAGCTTCCGAGGACCAGCGTTATGACCAGGTTGCAATTAAAGCAGATCGCCTCCTCCCGAACAATTTCCACGTACCAGTGCTGTCAGCGTAGAGACCGAGAGAGCGAGAGAGATCAAGAGAGAGAAAGAAACCCAGAAACGTAGCAAAGTGGATCACTGTAAATGCTGGCTTCCCTGAGTCGAAGCGAATACAAAAGTCCCCTTCATTGATCTTGGCAAGCATACAAAAAAGCCGTTCCGAACTGACGAAAGAACAGAAAGCAAGCCAAATTCCCGCGTTGTCTGTGAGCGATGCCAAACAACTGCAAGCACCGGCCAGTGCCATCCGATTTCAGCTTCCGAAGACCAAAAGCTGAGACTTGAGGGCCTTACAAAGGAACTGCCGCTAGCGCAACGGGAACGCATAATCCTTCTCCAATCTCTTTGCGAGGTAGGACTGATTCGGGGGCATCTGTAGATATGGTAAAACATAACATAACCATGTAGAGGCCAAGACGCATCAACCACAGAACTGTTCTGCAAACAGTGCAAACATGAAAATAGACCCGGTGCCAGGAAACAATCGGGCTGAAAAATGGGCCCAGCGCCTTGTCGAGCTGTGTATCAGTCACTACACCGCCTCGGTAGAATGCAGATATCTCTCGAAGCCCATCTGCAATCCTTGAGGTGAGAACATTTACGAATCTCCTGTGCCATCCGCGTTTTCGCTCTGAAGAACAGACCCTCCCCCGCCCTGCGGAAAGACGGGAACCCTCACGCTTAGAGGACAAATGCAGTTTTGCTTGACAAGTTTGCTTGATCCCCGGGATTTGGGACCGGACCAGCTCGGGTTTGCGCCTTGAATAATGGGGGCTGTTCACCACTGAAGTGTGAGGCTTTTCTGGAGGCTACCTCACAGGAAAGAGAGAAGCAGACAAATGTCCATCGGCAGCCTGACCGCAGAAGATGACTGGTTGGGGGACCCGAGCAGTTGGGAACTCTGAAATTGGGCCCTCCACAAGCTTGCTCGTGGTGGTTCGATGGCTATAGTTCGCGGCCGCTTGAGCTGGTAGCGCTTCAAAAGCAGCCACAGCAAGAGCAGCAGCAACAACAACAATCATCACAATCACAACAATCACAACCACAACGACAGCGACGGTGCCAGCAACAAGCACACGTACACGTACAACAAAACCAAACCCCCGCTAAGAGAACCCTCCGCACAATTCTACGATTCTACGGCTTACCCCTCCTCCAGCTGCTCCACCATGTCGATCGCGCTGGTGAAGGCCTCACAGCCAGTTTCGAATACTCACTTCATGATATCCGACTGTTGCGCTCGTAGGAACGACTAGCCTTGCGAGGGCCTTTGTGTCAGATCTATGCATTGATTTTGGCCGCTCCGATTTAACGCCGTCGTCAACCAAGCTTAATTACACAGTACCCACTCGCAAGCATGTGTCCTCATCTGAAGCCCAAGTTCCGGTAAGCTTCCATCTCTCGCCAAAAAATCAAACAAAAACTGTCATCCGTAAGCCTGTTGAAAGCCTGCTCAGATCTGGCTGCCCCTGGGCATGAAACCCTTGAAACGGAAGCCCACACCTCTGCCTTGTACAAAGCTGTCCGAAGGTCACTGAACTGCGGCCCCCAGCACGGACTTCACGTGGAGCATGGCGGAACCCAACATCAGCTCCAAGCTCTCGAGCTGATGCTCCTAAAGGGCCGCGATTTAAATTTACACTGGGGGAGAGGGATTTTTGCAGTTTTAGGCTTTAGGGTGTCGAGGCTTAGTTTAGTGGTTTAGGGCTAAGTCGTAAGCGTGGCAATACTAAGTACATCAAATCCTTCCGTGCTGAAGCTTCCTCCGAGTAATAATAGTGGTTCCATCTAGTACCCTACCCCCAGACCTGTCCTTAGCCTGGCCCTAGGCCTCCCCTAGCCTAGCCGTCAGCCTACCCCTAGACCTCGCCTAGCCTAGCCCTACACCTACCCGAGGCCTACATACAGGTCCTAGGGTCCAGCCTAGGCCCCTAGCTCGGCCCTCGCCTAGGCTCGGGGCTGCTGTATGCCCTGTTCGGGTTTTCAGTGTCCAAACAGGCTCACCGCTGGCTGAGGCTGAGACTTACTTGGAGGCTCGCTGAAAGCTAGGTGGGAGGCTACGACCAGGTTTATCAAGTCATCAATGTGATCCGAGCTTCAGTCAAAGCGTAAGGACTTGAGGTCAAGGCTCGAGTCGGGTGTTGGGTTTCAGCAGCTGATGCATGCGTGCTCGTCAAACGGTGTGGAAGGATGCTGGCATTGGCTGCCCTGGTTGGGCTGACAAGAGTGTACATACAATCACAGATTCCCAGCCCAGTCCAATGCTTGGGGGCATGTTCTTTGCGGCCATTTGCGGTTCCAAGTCATCTGATTCGCGACGAGACTGTTGTATGCGGTAGAGAAAAGACAGCACCCTGTTCGTTCAGCTCCCCTCCTCAGCAAGCTCCACAGAGCTGTCGACAGCAGCGCGGAGTTCGTCCATGCGCATTGCATTCCCGACAAGCAGGTCCGTCATGATTGCCTGTGCCGGATTGCACCTATGGCTCTGCAGCTCCACACGGCCTAGTACGAAGATTCTGAGGCACGGGTTGGGGCACGGAATAGCTAGACGGGTGCGAGCTGAAACTAACCTCTCGCAACGTATCCTGAAGCGCAAGCACTCACCGCGCGAAGGCATCTGACCACGGCTACAGATCTGGCTAAAAAACAAACAAAACCAACTCCATGAGATCCTAGCATTTGTGTCAAAAGCCAGCTGACATGACTGAAACTCTGCATTCCGTATCATCCCTGCACAAAGCCTGTCGTCCCTGAAGTGCGATCATCTCCGTGTTGAAGCTTTCTTCGAAGCGACGGACCTGGTTCTTGACCTGCTGGCGGCGATGACATGGTGATGACCCTGAGGCAGGTTGTCTCGTGATACTGCGGCCAAAAGAAGATGAAGATATTTATCATGGAACCAGTGTCAACTAATCTCCGAAGACATTGACTGGCAACCCGTGGCAGGACAGCGACGCTGCTTCAGGAACCTTGGCAATGTAGCTCCCGAGGTGCACAAGTGGCTTCAAGTGCAATTGCGGGGAGTGTTGTTGTCTGGGCTTGTCGAAGACGATCCCAGGACGATTCCGGATCATGAGCTTGCTGGCTTAAGGGTTTGGAGATGCAAGCTTGCGCAGCCAGTCACCGACTGACAGCGAAGGAGTTGGAGGCTTTCCGCATGTCACCGTGCCCATCTTGATGTCTTGATTCGGGGCTGGCAACCATTTACGGTTGCGGTGTCCAGTTTCGCGGACTGATACCATCTGTGTTCAGAGAGCCTGAAGTTTCAGGACATCTCCTGGTTAGAAAAGTCTCGTCACCCAGAATCTGGTCGGCTACCCCTCATTCATAACTGACTAGAACCATCGGTGTTTCAGCAGTTGCTGCGGCCCACAGATTCCAGCACTCGTCCTCCACCTCTTCCGGCTGCTCTAGCTCGGCTCTGGCTGTGGCGGCGGTAGCTTGTGTTGCTGCTGTCATCTTGTCGTTGTTGGTGCGG